CATCAAGACCAAGATTACAAAGCGGACATCCAGCTACTTATGTTCACTGCATTTCACAGGTATGGGACACAAAGACGGTTTATATCTGTGCAAGACTTTATCATAGCAATTAGAGGTGTTTCAGACTTCACAGTGAAGTAAAGAACAGAGGAACGTCATCAATCATCAGCTTCTACCGTCCAACCTGCATCAAGCTCATGTTTTGAAAATGCAACACTGCAAAGTTTTCTTCTTTTCCAGAGTCACAAACACGAATTAGTCATTTTAGATTGCATATGTTTTTGTCTGCGGCAGTTCTGGTTTGTTGGTTTTTACACGTAGGTTGTAGTCGTAGCTACATTGTGACAATTTGATGTGAAATTTCTGACGGTCTGACTTTTGTTTTTTGTCATCGGAGCTCAGAATGAGCAAAGGCTGCACCTCACTGTTGATCTGCAGCACTACAGCCACAGATTTGATCCAAACTATCAACTCAGACGGCTCAAAATCACTGAATTTAAAATGGCTTTCAGTTTTTCTTATTGACATTCACTGGGCTTCAGTCTGCTAAACAACTCCAAGGCGGACAGCATGCATCTTCTACTTCTTCGGAGTTTTGCTAATTTCCTGCGTTTTTACAAAGTCTTCACTGTTTGTCACCGTCCAGCATATTATTTGTTCTAACTCATGTTTATTCATGCTCTTAGTTGCTGAGATTCATGACTAAAATCAGAATCCTTCACACTGAAGACCTCTCATACTTTGTACAGGAGACACCGTAAATGCAACTCCTCCTCTCCTTTTATTTTATCATTTCCCCCCTGAGATTTCGGTGCAATAGTGCATCCTGTTGGCTGGCCAGTATGTAGGTGAATACACTGTACGTTCCTGCCAGCTTCGTCTTATGGCCACAGAATGTCGGTGAGACTGGAGACAGACCCCCAAAGTGCATGTTTACCTGCCGCTGCAGTGACAGGCCCTCATAAATCACTGTTATCTCCCACCGGTGGCACACGCCGCTTTTGTCCTTCACACAATGAGGGCCTTCCTCCATGATGGCTGCAGACAGTTTGGAAGCTGTGGGGCAGCTGGAGGCTGATGCACTATACACATGTACACACACACACACACACACACACACACACACACACTCCTGGTGCACACTAATCACATCTCACCACATCCCACTTGTCTCTGATTATCAATCACAGGCATTTTAAAAAATCATGACAAATTTCTTTCCTCCGATACACACAAACCCTCGGAGATGTGAATCCTGCACACCCTCGCCACACACACACACACACACACACACACACACACACACACACACACCACCCAGCATCACTCTATCTCGCTGTTGTTGGCTCTTCCTGTTATTGTAATGCAACCGAGGTGAAGTTGCAAAAGATAAAAGCCTTTAAGGATGCTAGGACGTGTGAAACCTGCTTAAAAAGAGTTCTAATGGATTTGCACATGTTCAACACATTACCGCAGACAGAAGTGCGTCCTGTGGGAACAAAGACGAAAGATTACCGATGACACATAATGCAGATGTAATTACCGCATTTCCAATAGATTGCACTCCTTCAATAACAATCCACCAGCACTACTTCAGGGGCGATGGAATTGCAGGATAATGTATATATTCGAGAGAGGAATTCACCTTTTTGTTCATAAAGCCACGCGCTTCTATTAAGATGAAGCACAACTCGGGACAGTAAAATTTCCTTTCCGCCTTCTCTCGCCGTACTTCTTTGTGTTTGTGTGTCCGCGCCGCGTCGGCTTAATCATTTCTTTTACAATAGCGTTATCAGTACACTGCACACTGGGGACCCATTGACATGGAGATTCTGCACATATATCAGTTTAAAATGCGAACGCTCATCTGTAATGAGGTCCTCCCCATCCAGCGCAACACTGACGTGAAGGATGGCACTTTTATGTGAGTTCTTTTATTAGCAACAAAGCAGCTAATTTCTGTTTTTTTTTTCTTTCCCCTCCCCAATTCTCCTCTTTTTGTGTCATTGTGGCTTTAAGATTTGGTTAATCAGTAGCAGAACTAAGGTGTTAATCATGAGAGATCGGGGGAACAAATCCCGAGTGCTGGTAATTAAGTGTCAGCAGCAGTCATCAATAAAAAGCAAATAATATTGATGAAAGGCACTTTGCTTGTTAGGAGTTGAAACTGGCCTTTTAAAAGGGAACCACCTCGACATTATAAATATTGTAGCCAGACAGTTCACCTCGTTCCAGTGAAAACAAACACAACACCAGAGCCGGGGGTTTCTTTCATGCGTTCCCGCTGGATTTCTGACCATTACAGCTCTGCTCCTACAATGTCGGCTCCCACCCGCACCGGCAAACGTTCTGACCATTCATGCCTGAACAATATAGAGTTCCATTGATTTTTTTGTCTTCTCCCATCCTGCAGGGAAAAAAAATACTTTTATTGTGTAGTAATAATAAAGCGATGCATTCCTCTGCATCGTAACAGTAAAATTACATCTACATGGATAAGATTTAAAGCTATAAGTAACACGTTTTATTCATTTCTCAACATGATTTTGTTTAAAATGTGCTTCACCTTTGAGCAGGGAGAACAGAGCAGGTATGGGAGCTTTTAGTCCATTGTATGTCAATAGTTTGCACATTTGTCAAGTTCTTTTCTGCTCTTTTTTTCCAGCAACAACTGGGAAATTTGTCCAAATGTCAGACTTGTCTTGCTGTTGTATTATTAAAACCCACTTTTATCTTCTTTTCAATTTCATTTTGTTGACTCCATCCTTCTGGTTGGCACTAAATCACGAGTCTGTAGTTTATATTTTGCAGCAAAGTTAAAGCTGCCAAAGTCCCAAGAGATGCCGATGCAGACCTCGACTCCACAGTGTGGTACAGAAACCCTCCAATCCAAAGTACAGACGTGCATTTTTAGTGTTTTTATCATGAAGCCAGAAAAAGAAAAAAAAAATTTACTTAAAGATTTCAAAATCATTTAAGCTGCACTAACTTCCCTGCAGTTTAAACCTTTATTCAATGTCAAAGGGGAGAGGGGCAGAAAACAAGTTTGCAGAACCAGAAGAGAGATTAACCAGAGCACAAACAAAAACAAACAAAAACAAAACCAAACAAGGTGGAATCCACAGGAGGGACACAGAGGGAGAAAGGGGGACTGGATGACTGCCACCACCTGATGTGATGGAGCCAAAGCAGGTAAACTGAGTCTCCATGACAACCTGACTCAGCCCATCGGTCGGCTGCAGGGATGAGACCGGCACCACGGGAATGTGCTTCAATATTCCTTTGGAACTGATTGCAATAATGTGTTAAATAACTCATATTAAAGTGTCAAAAAAAAAAAAAAAGAAAACATTCACCATGACAGTTTAAGTTAAATGGCCGTAGGAAACAGATCTGTCATTTCTATACTTGGACAATATGAATAAAATCCACTTTATGACTCTTTGCTGTAATATTGATATATATTATGACAGTTTTTTTTTTTTATGCGTAACCATAAACTTACATCCTGACGATGCACTTAGCACCCAAAACCCCAATATTACCAGAAACATAATGATCTAATAAGCGCAAAGATATTAAAGTATACATCAGTGGAAGCATTAAGGCAAACTACCAGACAGTAGACAACTCTCAGAGGTATACATCACATCAGCCGCTCCTAATCACTACCATAAAGCAGGAACGCTCTTCCATCAAACTTTCACAGTCACCTTAGAAATATAAAGGACGCTAAAAAAAAAAAAATAAAATCTCTTTCAGAAACTTTGCTTACCCACATGTGGTTTGTACCACAGCAGCAGAATCTGCTCATAGTGTCCTCAGAAGCAAACCTCTCTCCGACCGTGAGCCGCAAAATTATTGGCTGCCACGGGAGAGTCAGGGCCCTCCGATACACTGACTGAGAGTTTCAGTGAAAATGCCATAGCGCTCAAGAGCGTGCAAGTCTGTCAACAATAGGGACAGAATGCTTTCATAGCCAGCCGTCTGCAGGTCGCGTACTTTGCAGCCAGCTGTGTGGCACTTAAGAGTGGAACTATACTTACCCGGTGCATTAGCGAGCAACCGACGCAAATGCAAAAGCTGCGGTTCTTTATTCGCTGTGCCGAAAGGATTTGTCAGTCCAGTGTCATCCACATGCAAAGACGGCGACAATTTCATCTCTCCTGCTGCCGACAATGACTGATTTCCTTTGAAACATGTTCACGAGACGTTCACGTCGCAGGTGCAGCGTGTGCGAGCTTCTTGACTTTTTTTACCAAGACGATCCTCGATTTTAAAAATAGTTTGAAGCATCCGTGGTACTTGAGTCGTCCATTTGAATTTAACTGGATCAGAATTAAATTCACTGATGGATCGAGCCGTAATGATTGAGTCTCTAACAGAAGGTTTTGGACAATGAGGATATCAGTGGATATCAAACACCCGAAAAGCCACTTGTTTTCATTTTAATATGCTTTTCAGTGACACTTCTACACTGCAAAAAAAGGAAAGTTGGGTCAACTCAAAATTTCAAGGCAACAAACTTAGATAAAATTTTGAGTTGGACAATGAAACTAAATTTTTTAAGTTTTGCTTCTAAGTTTGCTCAACTCTAAATTTTGATTTTTATCAACTCAATGGCAAGTTCCACTAACTTATAATTTTACATTGTAACAACTTTTAATTGTTATTGTTGATTAAATAAAATGTCGGCTAACGTTGCGACCACAATTTTGAGTTGAGCAGGAATTACTGTAATACAACACCAACAAGTGAGAAGACAACATGTTGTCATGTTTGAATAGGACTAGCCCAGACACGCTAATGTTACTGGCTTAACTGCTGCAGCCCTGCTTGCATCAATTAGCCGCTAACCGCTAAGGACGGAAAAAAAACCTTGAGTGTAAATGTTGAAAATGTGTAAGTTGCTTTCTCCATTATGACACAACTCAAAATAAAATTCCCATACGGTTTAATGTTAAAATAAACTAAATTAAAGGTTGCTTAAAAGTTACCCGTGCAGACTTCAGCCCGAGGCAGCAGCTCTCCTCCAAGCAGCACACAGCCTCCAAACTTGGAAGTGAAAAATGCCAACTCGGAAAGTTGGCTTTCCCACATTTCACAACAAAGAAAAATGAGTTGACAGAACTGTTGTCCCTTGAATTGAACCACAACGTATGGATTTAAGTATTAACAACTCACCAAATTATTTTAGAGCATTCAACTGTCTTGATCTGTTGTGCTAACTTAGACTATTGTCTTAAATGTCAATGATTTATGTTTTCAAGTTTTACCAACAAAAATTACTGTTTTAGTCCAAAAAATACAAGTTGACTTTTTTGCAGTGTAGTCTGTCTGGAATGTGACCAAGCATAGACACTGTGTCCCCACAGTGACAGTACCATTTTCTGAATACCTTCATTAGCAAACTGTACACATATTCCCCAACAAGCTTGCCAACATACAACATGCATGACAGGTTGTGATTTGTAGGTCATACCAATGAAATTTGTCCAAAACCTTTGCAAAAACAATAATCTATCGAATCAATATTTCAACATTAAATGTGCTCCAATGGATAAAACACATTCACAGCTGAGATGCTGAGTAAGTTTGATGCAAAAAATAGTTTAACCCGAAAGTGAAATATGGTGCTAATTAAAGAGATAACGCACCAGATTTGTGTGCTCAAACACGAAATCAATTTACTGTTAATTACCAGAATGAAAAAAAAAAAATCCTTTTTCTTGACTTTAACTTCAAATTATAATCAAATTGTTTCACAAGCTACATTTTTTTTTCTCTCTCTCTTGATATTTTTCTCCTCCAAGGCGAACAGAGCAAATTAATCGAAGCACACACACACATGTGCACGATGTCCAAAAGCAGCACTGTAAACATATGTGCAGTGATATAAATGAATTATCTTGTAGCTGGAGGTAATGAAGGGTTTAGCCTTCAGCTGTTTTGCCAGATATTTGTTGGATAGAGCTAATGTAGACACCGCTAACTGTAGCATAATGAATAACACATTTGATTAGGAGATCACTGTCACTTCCCTCGATTGTGAATGAATACATGTTGGAAGGTGCGTGTGTGCTCGGCATCGGTTCATCTGCAGCTGTAAAAGAAACATG